TTAGCTAATGCATTTATCATGTAACCATAGTACTACTCTTAAGATATGATTAACTTAAGGTAAATATATAATAACCAACTCTGTAGAGTTGTTAACTTATATATTGTATGATGTAATAATCATAGTACTGTGATGATAAAAAGAACTTAAGCAAATTATATATAGCATGTAGCTATTTAGTACTGTTATAAGATAAGTAGAAATCTGTAAGATTGACTTATCTTCCCCCGAGGAACTGTCAACTGTTGTGCGAGGACCATGGGATCGAATTGGTGGATACCTGAGACGTCCTCGGTGGTGATATCTCTCAGATAATGGTTGGCAACCACCATATCGGATCTCCAGAAATAAACCCTCCATTATTCCAAATAACATTTGTGTAGATCAATTGTAGAAGTTAGCGCTCTAATATCATGAGTATTAAAAGCTCATGGAGGGTCGGATTGGGTCCATCCGTTGTATGCACGTAGTATGACAGTTCTGATCCAAACGGAGATATAGTACGTGAGACTTCATTCTGCGTAAGTTGATGATAGAGGAAATAATCTGTTGCATTTTTTCCTCCTGTTTGGTTCGGTGGAGATAAATTTACAGTGCTCTTGCTGGCCATCGTGATAGAATCATCGTATCATGGAGTCCAAGTATGTCATCCAGGCGTGTTCATAAACCTCACTTGTGAGGTGTTGGAGCACTATATTCAGATCCCCAAGTTGGAGGGTGAAACTTCCGTTTTAATTCTCCAATCAGAAAGCTTAAGTAGGTTTACTAACCATCTAGTTGTGTTAGTAGCTTGATGATGAAATTCAGCTGTAGTCTGAGACGCTGTGGATTTAGATCCACTTGTATCCCGTCGTCTAGGTTATTCGCTGCGAAGTCCTTGACGATGTAGGTGCACAACCAGGTGTGTCTGTCCTCGTTGAACTTTATGTAAAATCGCCTGACTGCCGTGCCCTCGTCCTAACTTGACAGGGGAGGTCTCTAACCTGAAGAAAGCAGCCCAATCATGAAGGTTCAGATTAACTGGACTGTAAGGAGGCTTGCTCGTTCACTGATATATAGTTGTCACTTGTAACGTAAGTCTTGAACTGTGAACTAAGATCGACCTCTGCGTAGGTCGTTGTTTGTCCAGCGGTCCAATCAGAACAAGGCATTTTGATTCTGTAGAATACCAGCGCTGTGATGTCACCGGTGTAGCAGGAAAAACCTTGTATAAAATCTTGCCGTCGTTGATATTAGCATAATCATCGGTCTTCACCGTAGCTTCGAAGTTACCCGGTGACCACGTGTTTCGAGGGTTAAAGGTAAACGCGAAACCTCGGTAGCGAAATACCTCGCTCTGTAATATTAATGCTGGGTAGGTTATTTTCCTGGCTGTCGTGAAAGTAACTTCAGTTTTGAATATAATTCCGACTTCCTTATATAAAGGTACAATAAACTTGCAAGTTGTCAGCTTGTAGACTGTATACATGAATGTATCGTCATAATTGTAGAATTAAAGCTGAACTTGTTGTACATATTTCTTCTCAGAAACTTTGACGATTATGAGTTATACTCGCTGTAACAAGGCTGCTGTTCAATTTCGATATTGAATTGTCTGCAGATCTGCGTAATGGTCACGCATGTAGATAATCGTATCGTAGTCCGGGATTGCATATTCTAGCAATCTATACGGAAAGGTTGATTCCTGTGAAGATCTATGAAACGTCGTTGACTAATTAATACAGCGACGTTCTGTGTTGTAAATAGCCTGTGCAATTGTCTTCGCGTAGGCTTATAGACGGCATATGGCATACAGTTGATAGACAACTTATGCGATGTCTTTGAACGGACTGACGAGTAGCTATATATGACGAGTGGCTAATATATGGAGACCTTGGAGGAGATTTCCTCGGTGGACGCCGGAGACTTCGCGAAGCTCTCGAAGTATCCATTCTAGATTTTCTGTGTGAAGTAGACTTGGAGCCACTTAGCCTTCGCGACCTTCGCGAAGGTATCGAGTCAGAGCCCGATCAGTATATATATATATATATGAGCGCTTGCTTCGCGAACGACCTCTGTGTTCAACAGGAGTGAGTGAGTGAGTGAGTTTAGTTTTACGCCGCACTCAGCAATATGTGGGGTCGGTGAAGCGCTACTCCTCCGCGACGTCCCTTGTAACTGGTGAGGCTCTAGCTCCTTCGCGGAGGTGGCCTGGGACTTCCTTAGCGAAGTGTCTAGAGTCCGATCAATATATGAGCGTTAGCTTCATACAGGGTGTGGTTCTTGCTGGTTCTGCATAAGTAGAGCCGAGTAGATCATCCTATCATCTTCAGAAGTCGTGTCACGAAATCTGGTGATAAGAATCTCATTGATCGTTCTAGATCTATTAAGGCCAAGAACATACGCCTCTGGCGTTTGAACTTTTATGGCTTTATGGTAGGCTGTGTCCACATTCTGTGGCACCGCAGCAATCGAGTCGATCGGAGGTAAGGTGATGGCGTCTGCATCGTCTTCCTTTATCAGGTATGTCTGCGCCGAGTTGCCACTCTTGGAAGGTGAAGAGAGATCTAGGTTGTTTACCATCCAATATCGTATCTCAGCGTCTGAGAAAATGATGCCTCCATCATCTTCTATCCCAGCATCGCTGATGAGAGGTTGATGCTCTTCTGATGGTGGACTGTGTATTTCTATCTCTATGTCGGGTGACGCTCGGGGACACCTGACTGTAGACTTGTGTGCAGACTTGTGTGGTGACCTGTGAGGCGATCGACGTGGTGATGTACGAGGAGATCGGCGCGGTGAACGGCGAGGAGATCGTCTATGGGTTGACCTTCTCGGAGACCTGTGAGGAGAATGTTGATAGCTTCGCGAAGCTCTTGTGTTGTCAGGTGTCCTTCGCGAAGGCCTTCGCGAAGCTTCCTCTGCGTCCGGTCCTGGGGAACGGCGACTTGACCTTCGCGAAGGCTTCCGTGAGGTCTGGTGGTCTGAGTCCGTTTCTAAGGATGAAGCCGAGGAAGGTGATGATCTATCCCGCCTTCGCGAAGGCTTTTGCGAAGGCTGTACATCTGGGTCCTTCGTCGAGGTGGTCTGCGACTTCCTTCGCGAAGGTGGCTTCGTCGTGGCTGCTACGCTGACGGGGGTGCCTCTGGGGTGTCGTCTGCGTTGGAACCTTCGCAAAGGCTCAGGCCTTGGGCTGGCTGCTTCTCCAGTCTGTAGTGGCCCTCCATCATGATCATGATTTGCCGCAACAGTTCATCTGGGATGGTCTGCGACGAAGTAGTCGGTGCCCTCTCTGCGATGTTAGTGGCGGGGCCCTCAGGGAAGTCGTCTGACGTCAGTGTAGAGACATCAGGCTGCATGGCGATCTCTGCTGATGTCACTGTAGCTGTCTCCGGTCGCTTCTTGTGGCGTACGTCGGGGATGATGATCGGCTGATCATCGTAGAGGCCCAGTTCAGCGGCTGGAACAATCTCGGTTGAGAAAGTCCTAGTAGACTTCGTTGATTTCCCTCAGAGGTCGACGCTGCCCTGGGGGTGCGAAGTCTGCGTTGAGTGTTGGTAGCGACGGGACCCTCAGGAAGATCATAGAATATCAGCGTTGGTACATCAGGCTACATGTTGATCTGCGCTGACATCACTGTTGCCGACATCGGTCATTCTTTTGATGTACATCAGGTATGAAGATCGGCTGATCATCATACAGGCCCAAATCTGCGACGGGAACGATCTCGGCTGAGAAAGTTCAAGTAGACTTCGTTGATTTCCCCTCAGAGGTCGCGTTGAGATGCAGTAGAAAACCCTCTAGTCTTCGGCTGCGACGATGGGATGTCTGGGAAAGCAGGACGCTTCATGGAGGCGGCGGACTACGTCCCACGCCTCTCCACCACTCTAGCGGAACACCAGACGGGAGGGGGGTCGACCAACAGCAGTAGACTGGCGAGTGGTTCAGGTGTATCAGTCATGGCTAGACTCTGTATACGCGACCTATTTGCTGCGCGTCTCAAACGCAAAGTAATTATTTATTAAAGGCAGAATTGGATAAATTAGTACCGCAACTGCAACGTGAAGAAAATGAAACATGGCGCAGTACAACAAGGGCATATTAAATGCGGATCAGCAGCAGAATAAAAAAAAAAACGTAATGTGCAACAGTACAGAATTTTTATCAACGTAATCCACTGAAACAACACGGCGTCCCGTGAATAAACAGTAGAAACACGACTAAATATCAATATATAATTGTTGAAGGATACTAGCTAAACCTCTATAGATGTCTATACGAGGTAACTAACTAAATATAATCAAAGGATATAGTGTGTCGGGAGACACAGGCGCTCTCACGTCCAGCTCACTGGGCGAAGAAGGAGAGAGTGAGGCACATGGGTGGAGGTGGCGCCCTCGTTCCCGAGCTTGTGGAAGGGAGGTAACTCGTGGTGAGTACTAATTAGTGATTTTACATTGAAGGGAGCTTCAATTAGGGAGATACAAGTGTTCCACTATGTTCGCAAGAAGAAGAAGATAAGCAAAAAGAGCATGAGTCAGGATAAGGAAAAATAAGTAATATTGGTTATGTCTGAGTGAATGAGTATAGTTTTAAGCCGCACCCAGCAATATTCGAGCCATATGGTGGCAGTCTGTTCAACAATCGAGTCTGGACCAGACAATCCAGTGATCAGTATCATGAGTATCGCCTAAACGATTGGGATACAATGACACGAGTCAAGCAAGTCAGCGAGCCTGACCACCCGATCCCATTAGTTGCCTCTTACGACAAGCATGGGTTACTGAAGATCAATTCTAACCCGGATCATCATGGTTGGTTATATGCTTTTATTGAAGAATTTGTTAAAACACACTGAAATTATCTGATAAATAAACACCCAATATATTTTCTGACTCCAGTTAACCTGTCATGGGTGGAGATCATTCAACACTCAGTTTTCCAGTTGTGGGTGTTCTGCAAGTAAAGAGAAAACAGTAAAGATGTGGCCTCAGGATTAATCAACGGTTTGTCTCACCTACCTCGTTTCTCCTCCTGAATGATATCAAGCTCAACGTTTCGGAAAAACACTGGATCTAGAGCTTTGGCTATCCGATATGGCAGAGGTGGCGTAGACCGGCTTATATGGCGCTGAAAGTAAAATAAATCATGTCAGATAAATCCTTGTCTTGTGTTCATAGGATTTCTACTGTGAACTCAAGTCACTACATGTCAGCTACATACCACCAGAGTGAGTGAGTGAGAGAGAGAGTTGGGCTTTACGCCGCTTTTAGCAATATTCCAGTAATATCATGGCGGGGGACACCGGAAATGGGCTTTACATGTTGTACCCATGTGGGGAATCAAACCCAGTCCTTCGGCATGACAAGCCAATGCTTTGACCACTAGGCTACCCCACCACCCACCACCAAAATGAGAAATTTGTTAGTGACATACTAAACAGAATTTCAGTTATCTTCATGTCCATTTAACGTCAAATGAGACCCAATATATTGCATGTCAGAAAATTACACCTTTGTGAAGACAGCGAAGCAGTCATGCTGACAGAACAAGGATTACTAACAAGTCAGTTTGCAATCTGAACTATTAATACTCATATCCAGAAACAACTAAGGGAGGCAACTATCAGAGGATTGAGGCGCTTGAAATACAAAGTAAACATGCTTTCCCTTTGAAAATACAAATGTGCAAAGTTTTCAATGAAACATTAATCAAAATATAATTAATAAAAAATTTCCTTTGCTTTTCTATCAGTTTTCCCTTGTATAAGACATACAAGCTCAAATACAAACGTATTAGAACAGTTATAATATGGTACCTACATGTTGATAAAGAAAGTTATTTTATACAAGTATAAACATAGTGAAGAGACCCATCATACGTGTTATACTATCACATAGAGGAGTAGACATAAGCAATCTTCCAACCATATTGAAGAACACATACTTTAGGATTCCATAGCAGGAATCAAAACACGGACTTGACAAGCCAAGCTGTAAGATTAGACTGATCAACTAACATGAAGGTTGTGCTCCTGTTGTTGAAACTTAATATACTGTAATAAAGTTATTGTCTGTGTCATGTCTGTTAGTAAGAAGGTTTGCTGTAATAAAGTTGTTCTCTTCACTGTGGCATGTCTCCTAGCAACAAGACTTACTGCATGAATTTAGTTCTTTCCACTGTGGCATCTCTCCTGGCAACAAGACTTACTGCAAGAAATTAGTTCTCTCCACTGTGGCAGGTTTCTTAGCAACAGGACTTACTGTAATAAAGTTGTTCTCTCCACTGTGGCAGGTTTCCAAGTATAAACAGCCACTGAAAACAACATGTTTAAGTTTAAAACTGGAGCACTGATGATTAGTCTGTCTCAGTCCCAGAACCACATTATTTTCCCTACTGCTAAGCCCTAAATGAAGCAAGTCTAGATTAATCTCTGGTCCTTCTAGGACTCCTTTTCAATTTAAATGGGCTTGTTTGTAACTGTCAAAATTATATATATTCAAAGACTAAGCATTAGTCTACACTAAAAATAAACACCCAGAGTGCCACAGAGTTCACCCTTTTTAGAGATATAAAGTTATTAAATATTTTGCAAACATCGTATTCTTAACAGAGTTAAAATTTAGAGCTTAAATATCTGTCCTATATCACTGACACCTTAATTCCATCAATGAATCCTGTAAAAATCAGAAAATAATGTGTCCAATGGTGTCAGGAGAATGGTGGGTATAATACTAAAATTAGCTGTTGTGGTGGTCATTTCAAAGGGTTTTTTTAAAAACGTTTTTCTGAGCTAGGATCAAACAGAACTCTATAAAATGATGTTCTTGTTCTGGCACAGTGAACCAGGCACATGGCGTCTTCGACAGAGTGAACACATTTAGCCCAACACATGACGGTACAGACACAGTGAACTCACCACGTCATGGTACAGACACATTGAGCCCGACACGTGATGGTACAGACACATTGAGCCCGACACATGACAGTACAGACACAGTGAACCGAACACATGATGGTACAGACACATTGAGCCCAACACATGATGGTACAGACACAGTGATATCACCACATGACGGTACAGACACAGTGATATCACCACATGATGGTACAGACACATTGAGCCCAACACGTGATGGTACAGACACATTGAGCCCAACACGTGATGGTACAGACACAGTGATATCACCACATGATGGTACAGACACAGTGATATCACCACATGACGGTACAGACACATTGAGCCCAACACGTGATGGTACAGACACATTGAGCCCAACATATGATGGTACAGACACAGTGAACTCACCACGTGACGGTACAGACACACTGAACTCACCACGTGACGGTACAGACACAGTGAACTCACCACGTGACGGTACAGATACATTGAGCCCAACACATGACGGTACAGATACATTGAGCCCAACACATGACGGTACAGACAATGAACTCACCACGTGACGGTACAGATACAGTGAACTCACCACGTGATGGTACAGACACAGTGAACTCACCACATGGTACAGACCCATTGAGCCCAACACGTGACAGTACAGACACAGTGAACTCACCACGGGACTGTACAGATACAGTGAACTCACCACGTGATGGTACAGACACAGTGAACTCACCACATGGTACAGACACATTGAGCCCAACACGTGATGGTACAGACACTGAACTCACCACGTGACGGTACAGACACTGAACTCACCACGTGACGGTACAGACACTGAACTCACCACGTGACGGTACAGACACTGAACTCACCACGTGACGGTACAGACACTGAACTCACCATGTGACGGTACAGATACAGTGAACTCACCACGTGATGGTACAGACACAGTGAACTCACCACATGGTACAGACACATTGAGCCCAACACGTGACGGTACAGACACAGTGAACTCACCACGTGACGGTACAGACACAGTGAACTCACCACGTGACGGTACAGACACAGTGAACTCACCACATTGTACAGACACTTTGAGCCCAACACATGACGGTACAGACACAGTGAACTCACCACGTGATGGTACAGACACATTGAGCCAAACAAGTGACGGTACAGACAGTCAACCCGACACATGATGGTACTGACACAAATGGGACTAAGTGTAATCTAATAAAATGAAATCAAGGAAGATCGTTTTATTATGTGTTTTCTTACATACGTTTTCGGTGTTAAGCCGCACTATCACAGCAAACATCGTAAGTACCTGGCTGATGGATGGCATGTCTTTATGATAAAGTTGTCTTTTATTTAGTTATTCCGCTGTTCCGCTGTTCATGTGATTATTCAGAAAAATCCCAAATGTTTCTAGAGCATCTGAAAACCCATAATATGGGTACATGTACAGTGAAAACTTTTTTTAATTTCAATCTGTACTGAATTTCGCAAGTTTACAACACGATTAACCCTAGCAAAAACAGTAGATTTGTTGATATGCTATTCCGATGAGGTGAAAATGTGTGATTGCTGGGTAACTTTCGTTTTTAATGGGAACCACAGATTACTCCACGATTTAACCAAATCAGCAGTATTGCGAGGGATGACTGTACTGACACAGTGAACCCGGCACATGACAAAACTGACACAGTGAACCCAATACTTTAAGACAGATCTTAGCATTATGAAAACAGCATATCGACCTACAATTACCTACATTGCGAGAGCCAATATCAATATATGTGACTCCATTCAATCTGAGAAGTTCAGCAAGTCTGCTAAAGCAATACCTTGTAACAGATTGCAACCTCTAGGCTCAATATGCCTTTCAATGGAACAGTTTTTCCAGAAAGTCACCTTATAAATATATATTGTCACCAAGTTAACTGAAAAGACACGCAGGCATGGATGTCAACTTTAAGTCAATCTGATGTAACAGGTTTTCAACCCAGGCAAGGGAGGTAATAAAATCATTGGGCCGAGCCGTAGATGCATCCAGGGTATAGTGGTTATTTTATCGGAAAGTATACCCTGGAGATTATCAAGGATGCAGCATGACCATCGATCTATGTGATTGGGATACGATGAAATGTGTCAACCAAGTCAGTGAGTCTGATCACCCGATTCTGTTAATTGCCTCTTACGACAAACATGGATTACTGAAGACCAATTCTAACCCGGATCTTCAAGGGTCAATGTCACAGAGAATACACTAAAATTGGGCTTTATACATTGTACCCATGTGGGGAATCAAACCCAGGTTTTTGGCGTGACAAGCAAACGCTTTAAGCCATACTGCCCCGATGCTTCAGTGAACGAGTATGGGTTTACGCCGCTTTTAGCAATATTCCAGCAATATCACAATGGGGGACAGAAATGGGCTTCACACATTGTTCCCATGTGGGTAATCGAACCCGGGTCCTCGAATTGACACGCAAATGCTCTTAACCACTAAACTACCCCAGCGCCCCTCACAATGGTTCAATGACATCAGACATGGTGTGCAAAAACATGTCTTACTTTTCAAGTATCTCTCTCGAGCTTTTCTTCTGTTGTCTAATGAAGAGGACTGCTTCTTCCAACTCGTTCGTCAGTCCAAACACTCCATGGTAAAGTATCTCGTATAGAATTGCTGGAAATAAACTTAAATATATAAACTTGTTTTCTTGTCAGTTAAAAACATTATTATAATGATTGCGGGCTGTGAATAACTGAATTTGGACCAGACAAATCTGTGACTTGTTTTTGACATAATTATAGTTCCTATTTATTCCAATGCTGTCAGACCTTTCAATATTCCTTTATTCCTTAGAATTACAATAAAAGAACTACAAATGTTCACACAACATCCTCGATGTGTTTATGTTTATTCTAAGGATTGTTTACTTCTACCTTTAGTAGAAAAACATTTTCTTCAAGCAGTGACCCAAATTACATACCTTTAGCAATGTCATCTTATTCACCTCCATAAATGAGTGAGTTCAGTTTTACGCCGCTTTTCACCACATTCCAGCTATATCACGGCGGGGCACACCAGAAATGGGCTTCACACATTGTACCCATGTGGGGAATCGAAGCCAACACTTTAACCACTAGGCTACCCCAAAGCTCCCTCCATAAATGAAGTTATATTTGTTTTTGTTTGTAATTTAATGCCGCACTCAGCAATATTCCAGCCATATGATATCGGTCTGTAAATAATTGAGTCTGAACCATTAATCCAGTGACCAACAGCATGAGCATCGATCTATGCAATTGGGATACGGTGACGTGTCTGACCACCCGATCCCTTTAGTCGCCTCTTACGACAAGCATGAGTTGTTGAAGATCAATTATAACACGGATCTTCAGGGGTTATGGAGGAGGTGCAAATAGGATTAAAATTATCATGTGACAAGTGAGTAACATCTCACTAAACACTGATGTCCTGATATCCACAAATTGAAGTCAACTCAACCTTTCACAAAGCTGCTACTGGCTGCTCTGTAAACAAGTTCAGCAACACAGATTTTTTATCATCATGGAAATGAAAGAAAAGAATGTATAACTGTGGTATCTTATGTCCTCTTATCCGTTCTTGGAATGGTGTACAATGGGTGAAGCCCCTTTGCAGTGTCCCCCGTCATGATATTGCTGGAATGTTGCTAAAAGCGTCGTTAAACTCAACTCACTCACTCTTGGAATCGTGCTCCAAGAACAAGACAATGGCAGTTTGTCAGATTTATTCAAATATTGACATCTTCCTGTCAAAACTTAACATTTTAACATGCATTTTTATGAAGAACTTTGGTCATGATTATTGGGGAAAATCCATGATGTTGCTGTACTTGTCTAACAAAGTAGGGACAGTGGGGGTAGCCCAGCAGTTAAAGCGTTCGCTCGTCACGCCGAACACCAGAGTTCGATTCCCCACATGGGTACAATGTGTGACGCCCATTTCTGGCTCACGCCCAACTCACTCACTCACTAGTACAGTAACGACAATATAACTTTGTGACACCTACATTGACAGATTGCAGCATCTTGCACGAAGGATCTAGGGTAGATAATGTCGTAATGGACACCGTCAACAAAACACAGCAATATCTAGAGACAAATAGAAAGAATATCATAAAGCTTTCTACGAAGTTGATTTCAAACAGAACTTAAACTCTTTCTTTAATGACTTTTACCAGCTGTATACATGCCCTAATAAGTTAGCTAATTGTCTTGACCACACAGATAGATGATTCTCATGCTGAATTCTACTTCAGCATCCCAAACTGTGTGAAATAGTCACTGGTCCACTAGCCCACTAGCCGGTGACTAGTAAAAATCCAGTTGGGCCAGTAAATCTCCACAGTCACTAGCCTGATAGGCTAGTGTATTTCCATGGGGTCTTTATGTAAATATATCACTCTATCCGACTTCTTAAGGTATAACATAAATCATGCAAGATTATGGCCTGATAAAAATGTTCATCATATTAGCAGCTTAATAATGAAACCTGTGTCATGCCGATAATATCTTATTCTCATCTATTTTTGTAATCTTTTGCTTAGTTTCTACATTTAAATTTCGGGGTAGTGAATTATTTTGTTGGCTGGTAACTTTCAGGCCTAGCTAGCCCGGCTGGCGAGCAAAATTTGGAAATATTTTGCACACTGATTCCGAAAAAGAATTTACCAGCTGTATAGTGATATATGGCGTAGATACCTACATGCTAATTGTCTTGACCATATGATTCTAAAGCTGAATTCTACTGCAGTATCCAAAAATAGAATGTGTACCAGCGGTATCGTGATATATGTAGCCCAGTATCTATACACTACATGACAACATGCCACTGATTGTCAGCATATTGTAGACAAACCTCCCAGTACCTATACACTACATGCCAACATGCCATTGATTGTAACCATTTTGTAGCCAAACTTCCCAGTACCTATACACTACATGCCAACACACCATTGATTGTAACCATATTGTAGCCAAACCTCCTAGTGCCTATATACTACATGCCAACATGCCATTGATTGTAACCATATTGTAGCCAAACCTCCCAGTACCTATACACTACATGCCAACATGCCATTGATTGTAACCATATTGTAGCCAAACCTCCCAGTACCTATACACTACATGCCAACATGTCATTGATTGTAACCATATTGTAGCCAAACCTCCCAGTACCTATACACTACATGCCAACATGCCATTGATTGTAACCATATTGTAGCCAAACCTCCCAGTACCTATACAGTACATGACAACACACCATTGATTGTAACCATATTAGAATCAGTGCTCTAAGGGTACATATTTTAATCAGATTAACCCAGTCCTTACCTTTGTTACAAAGTTATTTTGTGTTACATTAGCAGGGGGACACTCTGGTTGTTGGAAGATTATGAAATCCACACTGAAACACAATATAACTTTATATACATGCCATGACATACTACCTGTCTAATACATGTAAACAAGTATATTTATAAGAAGTGTGCCTCCGACTTGTCAACTTACCACCATTGCACTCATTCCATGAAACACTTAGGTTCAAATGTTTAACCCACTCACTATCACATGTTCTACATAGAATCTTTTGTCACACAAACGTGCTAATGGATACTTTGCCTCAAGCCCTGTCACATTGTGCAACAGATCAATATCACAGCAGCCAACAATATAGAGATCATTTACACACTGTATAACACAGGCATGTCACTATCATATCATTTCCCCATTGTACAACACACACTATCATATCACTACCCCACTGAACAACACACACTATCATATCACTACCAAACTGTACAACACTATCATATCACTACCACACTGTACAACACACACTTTCATATCACTACCACACTGTACAACACACACTATATCACTACCACACTGTACAAGTCATATCACTACCACACTGTACAACACACACTATCATATCACTACCACACTGTACAACACACAATCATATCACTACCACACTGTACAACACACACTATATCACTACCACACTGTACAATACACTATCATATCACTACCACACTGTACAACACACACTATCATATCACTACCACACTGTACAACACACACTATCATATCACTACCACACTGTACAACACACACTATCATATCACTACCACACTGTACAACACACTATCATCACTACCATACTGTACAACAGTCATATCACTACCACACTGTACAGCACAAACTATCATATCACTACCACACTGTACAACACACACTATCATATCACTACCACACTGTACAACACACTATCATCACTACCATACTGTACAAGTCATATCACTACCACACTGTACAGCACAAACTATCATATCACTACCACACTGTACAACACACACTATCATATCACTACCACACTGTACAACACACACAATCATAACACTACTGTACAAGTGTACTTGTCCTATCCCTACTTCTCTCTACAGTGTACACTATCACATTACAACCATGTAGTACAATAAACCTTGTACAACAGCAAATACACCTACACTATAAATATGTAAATAACTATAACACTAGAATCAGACCAAGTTAATACATATACTGCCTTGCCCAGTATAACAGAGTGAGTGAGTTGGTTCTGACAAAGCTAGAAACATCACCAACGACAGAGTACAACTCAAATGGTCAAATGACCCATCAACGAAGTATGTGGTAATTTAAGAATTACAAAATATAGTGTCACAACATCCTATGATGAAATGCTTTGCCATAATTATGTATCACATCTTGACAGCACTGTACAACAAAGGAGACAGAACATAGAGAACACAACAATAACAACAGTTATCACTCCTCATGTCACAAGATGTGATGAATAACATGCCGTATATCATGCATAGACTCAACAGAATAAATACCTTTGAGGTATTGTTTGTTTTATGCCACATCTATATAACTGACTGTTAACAAAGCACTCAGCAAGATTACAGTTGTATGATGGAGGTCTGTAAATAGTTTAGTCTGGACCGGACAATCCAGTGATGAGCAAGATGAGCCTCTCCTCCACAACAAGGAGTGAGCGAGCGAGTTTAGTTTTACGCCGCACTCAGCAATATTCCAGCTATATGTCAGCAGTCTGTAAATAATCGAGTCTGGACCGGACAATCCAGTGATCAACAGCATGAGCATCGTTCTGCACAATTGGGAACCGATGACATGTGTCAACCAAGTCAGTGAGTCTGACCACCCGATCCCGTCAGTCGCCTCTTCCGACAAGCATAGTCGCCTTTTGTGGCAAGCATGGGTTGCTGAAGACCTATTTTACCCCGGAGCTTCACTGGTCCCCAACAAGGATGTAATGTCAAGTAGGGGGCCCAACTATTTCATCCCATTAGTTGCCTCTTACGACAAGCATAGGTCTAACCCAGATCTTTATGGTTTGCCTCAAAATAATCTGGACTAGTTTAAAATGTCAAATTTTAACTTTTAACAATGAAATAAACAGCAAACAATGAGAATTTCAAAAAACACAACATCACTATTTATTAACAAACCAATACATACCCATAGAGTCTGGATAGTACCATCATTTCCACCTGACCTGCCCATTCCTGAAAGAATGAGTGCAAGTGGGCAATTAATTTATTTCTCAGCAACATGCATGCAATTCTATTTAACAAAAAAACAAACAAACGTGAGGCTGATAGTAGATATTTACATCTCAGGTGAAACCAATAGGCGCAGGTAGGACAGAGTTAGGAACATAATTGTCAATTTCTGGAATTAAAAAACATGACAAGAGGGTCCTGGACTGACCAAGGGAGGCAACTCGCATAGCAAATTGCAGTAACTTTTACCTGCTATTCCAGCATCAGTATAAATTATTACACATAATTTCCAGGTGTTCACGCACACCCTTCATTTTGAAACCATCCTCATCCTAAATCTGATGCAGGCGGACAACAAATATTCACTTCATAGGCTTCTTTTGAGTTTTCAAGAGTGAGTGATGTTTTACGCCACTTTCAGCAATATTCCAGCAATATCACAACCCGGACACATATGGGCTTCACATATTGTACCCATGTGGGGAAGCAAACCCGGGCCTTCGACGTGATGAGCAAACGCTTTAATCACAAGGCTACCCCACCGCCCATTGACAATTCAAAGGTGCCAAAGTAGTATTATTATAACGTAATTCTAATACCACCAGCAGATACAAACAACTGAAGGTCATACTTTTTGTGCGAATTTTTCACACCAGAGAGGTAATATCACAAGGAACTTACAATCGCCTCTAGCTCTTTTTTATCTTTTTATTAAATAGCAAGTGGCACAAGATATCACCAGAATCTAATTACAGGCAAAAACACTTTCTGCAATGAACAGGAAAGTACAGTTTGGTAATGTATTTCAACTATTTATTTCCTCTCAGTTTTATCAATTCACCTTCTTGACAGACTAATCCCTTTCAAATTGACATGGACAAGTCACTCTGCTTTGTGTTCCTTTGGACGACAGATACAAATTCCATCTTTATAGGTTTTGTTTAGTTTTTGTACAAAAATATATTTAATAAATTGTATGCAAATATTCTTCAAAATACATGGGAAATGCAACTCCTTCAATGTTTTCAGCATTTCTATAGCATTCACCGAATATTCTGTAGAAAATTCTCATCAAGGGTTGTTCAATCAACATCATCAAACAAGTTGTAGTTTAAGAAAACCAGTAGAGCAATATGTTGCTCTAAGCAATATTCCAGCAATATCACATCTGGGGACACAAGAGGGGAATCAAACCAGGGTCTTCAGAGTGACGAGCAAATGCTTTAACCACTAGGATACCCCACTACCCCTATTAAGTACCCCTAAAAGTAGTGAGTGAATGAGAAGTGTTTTATGCCGCTTTTAGCAATATTCCAGCAATTTTACAGTAGTGTACATAAAAAATGGGCTTTACACAATGTGCCCATGTTTGCAAGCGAACCCTGCCCTTACACATGACAAGCAAACGCTTTAACCACTAGGCTATCACACTGACCCAAGATAAGATGATGTCACTGTTGAGTGAGTTTATTTTTTTGCCACACTCAGCAATATTCCAGCTAAATGGCGGCAATCTGTAAATAATCGAATCTGGACCACACAATCCAGTGATCAACAGCATGAGCATCGTTCTGCGCAATGGGGATACAATGACGTGTCAACCAAGTCCGCGAGCCTGACCACCTGATCCTGTTACGACAAGAATGGGTAACTTTTAGACGAATTCTAATCCGGATCTTCACAGGAGTCTACATGTTCACATGACTCAGTTACAAGTCAGGTTGCTGAGGACTGTCTGAGGTGGTGACATTTCACTCACTAAAGTGAGTGAGTGAGTGAGTGAGTTTGGTTTTACGCCACTTTTAGCAATATTCCAGCAACATCACGGCGGGGGACACCAGAAATGGGCTTCACACAATGTACCCATGTGGGGATTCGAACCCGGGTCTTCGGCGTGACGAGCCAACGCTTTAACCACTAGGCTACCCCACCGCCCTCACTCACTAAAGAGACAAGAGGGAAAGAGGCACTATTTTACAGAATACATTGTTAAAAGACCTATGAAGTTGAGAAATATATGTCCAAGTTTTACACAAAATTATCGGGCACGTGATTTGGTATCCTAAATATGTCTGAGTAAGTGAGTGAGTATTGTTTTACGCATCTTTTAGCAATATTCCAGCAATATCACGACGTGGAACACCAGAAATGGGCTTCACCAATTGTACCCATGTGGGGAAATATGTCTGTGATGCATCACTGAAGTATAGAGAAACAACATTATGCTGTATATTATTGTTATAGACCATATCAAATGTATATATATTTGGGTTTCATCTCGCTAACTTGTCATTAACTGCATGTCGCCAATATTGATTCATTACAATATTCCACAAAATTAGTGTGCAGGCATTTTGAATCCAAGTAAACCAAGACGTACTCACTTTTGAATTCTGTAATCTAAATATTCTTTCTTCAAAGGAACCTTCAATAAACTGAAAAGGGCATAATAAATAATTTCACATATTTCCACGGTTACATACTTGGACAGGTGGTGCCAGTGAGGGAAACACGGAAACAGTGATCATGTATCGTGTAAATGTCTCCTTAAACATGCTGGTTTAGATCGTTAGTCAGGTGTTAGGACAGGTGTCATTAATCTCAATAGCATGCTCATGCAGAACTGTTGTGGCTATCTGTGACAAAACTGTTGTTGGGGATATAACAGATATCAGAATGGCAAAGCACACAAAAAACTGAAAATTTAGCCAGGGGTCTTGCTAGTCTTTTATTGCAGATTTACATCGATCTCAAAAACGTTCAAATTGAAACAAAAATACTGGAAATCCAGGGACCAGGGGAAAATTCTCATGTCTGTATATTTTTAACTTGGAATGGGGACACAATTTGGGGTGGGGGAGTGTGGCAAGAGAGGGAAGAGAGGAGGGGGATATCTAGCTGCTAGGGGTGACAAGCTAGGGGTGGGGACACAAGCTGAGAGTGGGGACACAATCTCGGGTGGGAAAATCAGGACATGATTAGGATAAAAACAAGGGGTGGGGATACAATCTAAGGGTGGGGATACAATCTAAGGGTGGGGCTAAAAGCTAGGTCTGCGGATACAAGCTAGGTGTGAGGATACAGACTTGGAGTGGGGACTCAAGCTAGGGGTAGGGACATAAACTAGGGGTGGGGTTACAAACGAAGTGAGGGATGGGGGCACAGACAAGGGGAGGGGGTAGCAGCTAGAGGTGGGGACACAAGCTTGGGGTAATGGACATAAACTAGGGCGTGGGGTTACAAACGAAGTGAGGGATGGGGGCACAGACAAGGGGAGGGGGTAGCAGCTAGAGGTGGGGACACAAGCTTGGGGTAGTGGACATAAACTAGGCGTGGGGTTACAAACGAAGTGAGGGATGGGGCACAGACAAGGGGAGGGGTAGCAGCTAGAGGTGGGAACACAAGCTTGGGGTACGGACATAAACTAGGCGTGGGGTTACAAACGAAGTGAGGGATGGGGGCATAGACTAGGGGAGGGGGTAGCAGCTAGAGGTGGGGATACAGAATCCGTGAAGTCTTTTAACTATAAAGAGTTATACACTAAGAGGGTCCACACATTCTAGCTGAGGGGGAATTTAAAGCAGGTCTTTGGCAAACACTTTAACCACTAGGCTACCCCAATATCCATTGCTGCTGTGTTTTTATAAGAACTGATGGCTGTTAAATGCCTCCAGAACTATCACATCTAGGCCTTTCAGTTTACTCTTTAGAAAACACTTTGCACAACAAGTACATCAATGTTCCAACATGAAAGAGGTAATACATGAATTGTAACTCTGTTCAACTATGTTGCACATGTTATGAGATCTACTTCCTGACATTTCAATGGAAACTATTCAACAGTGAACTGCAGCAATAGTGACTGAGGCTACATCAGTTTTCAAGCTGTGGGAACTGAAGATTAACATTCTGTATAGATTTCACCACTCTCAATTCGAAATTAAATGAGCAGTAACTGAGTGATTTACAAGTTCATGCTGTTCTACACTGTGGGAACTAGAATATTCCAGCTATATGTTGGCAAATACAAAATCAAGCCTGAAACAGGAAAATCATGGGTAGATTTGACATGACTTCTTTTTGTTTGTTGTTTAATGTCGCACTCAGCAATAGTCCAGCTGAAAGAGGCCAGATGGGTTTCGACCAGACAATCCAGTGATTAACAGCATGAGCATTGATCTACACAATTGGGAAATAATGACATGTGTCAACGAGGTCAGCGACCCTTACCACCCCAAGGGCGGATCCAAGGGGGTGGTGTGTTCGAAACCACACACACCCCACCCCACCCCCCAACCTTTTTGAAAATGACTTAAGACCACATTGAAGATTTTTATTTGCGTTGGCAGAGCAAGGGGGTGGGGTGGGGTGGTTTCAAACCACCTAGAAAACACACATACACATACAACACCCCCTTCAAAATTCCTGCATCTGGCCATGCACCTGATTCCAGTATGGGCTGTAGAACACCAATTCTAACCCAGATCTTCACAGGTAGATTTCATGTGAATGATCATGTCAACCAATAATCTACAGTCCACTCTAACTTTATACCAAGTAGCCCAAACATGCTTTCATTGAATAATAACATCTTATATTTATCGTGATGAAACACTACTACACCATGAAAAGGCCAACATATTTCTATTTTATCATATTCATTTGTGAATTGAAGAGGTAACATGAGTAACAAGTGTGAATTATTCTTTCCACAGTTGTTCCAAATAGTGGTGGTCCGATTAATTGAAATAATCGAAGATTGGTCGTAGTGACTAAACGACCAAGCAATCGATCATAATTTCTCATAATCGAACACAAACAATTCTGGAACACTTGTTTTCATTAACAATATTTTTCACATGGTTGGTTTTGTCTGTTACATTTCGTAAGCACTGCAAGCTCGTTACAAGTCAGAACTGCAAGTTTTTTTCCTTATTTTTATGTGCATTAACAAATTTCATATATGACGCTAACCCATTATTTTCGATGATTGATTGGTAGTAACGAACCAATCATCAATTATGAGATTTGAACCAATTCCCAACACTAGTTCCAAACACCCCAGACAAGATGGCTGTGTGTTTCATGATAAAATGAAGTGTTAAAGTACTGTCTGAAATGCTAGAAAAATGCTTTGTAGCCTTAATATCTTTAGAAAGGTGATAAATGTATTATGTTGTCAATATATCAACTCACCCATAGTGTACCTAATTTTTATTTCAATTGATTTAACATTCCCATGCATTTAAAGGGCAGTTTACAGGAGAGAATTTGGTACCAAATCAACAACTTAAGATTTTTTCAGAGTTCAACAACAGAAATCTGAAATAGTCTTTACATTTATGCTAATAATACAAGTGGTGTAAAAATATAAATTAACGTTTCTCTTAAACAAATAAATGTTGAATGTTTGTGTAACTTTACTTAATTATCGTTTCTTTATTGAAGAAATATTAATATAAATGTTAAGTCTTGATAAATAAGTTTCCCGTCATGCATGCACATCTTTATCACAGAATCCACTATGGCCAACTATTTGCAGACGATTGTTGCACAGGTTTATAAATTTTTTGTGCTTGAAAAAGACAGAGGTAAACCTTTCATTAGTATAGAAATGGTTTATTACAGAACTTGTAGACCTGTTGGTATGTCTTACCAACAAGTTTACAATATTGTAAACAAATCAGACAAGACAGGAACCGTCTCAAAAGCAAAACCGGGACGTAAAACCATCCTTGACAACTTTGACAAGGGAGTACTTAGACGGGCGGTCTACAAACTTTAGGAGAAGAATAATATATATATTCTAAAGAAGCTACACCAGTGACTTCGTTAAATCTTTGGCCAATGTTCACAACTAGATTAAACTGACTGAATTACATCCATATTTTTGCAATGAAATATACTGTTGACATGCAAAACAAAACGTTGCACATTTCTACAATCAATCGATAAGATAACACAAGTGATTGGATTCTTTCCAATGTACAGTAATTCGTATGTTTATTTCACAACAAACACACATACACAAATGATCCCTTCCATAACCAGTAAGTATACTATACGTACACATATTCAACATTTTGAAGAAAACATCTATTGAGATGACCCCTCGCCCGAGCATGTGCTCAGGTGTCAATTTCACCTGTCGATACCGTGCATGCTGATGACGTAACACAGGCAGTTAATGTTTGTATCAAATAACGTCCCACTACCCCTTATTTTTCTAAGTTTTTGGTATTTTCATCAGTAAAAAAGCATTTTAGGGCATGTCTCAAAATTTATTCCCTCGGTCCACATTAGGTAGATGTTTCTTAAAGTGATATTTGTTATTTAAGTAACTGTAATACCTCTGAATTTTAAATATAAGTCAAAAAGCATTTTTGTAGCATTTCCGACAGTACTTTAGTGCCAGTTGTGCTATGTTAGATCTTGGTGACAAAAGTACCATCATTGAGAGTTTGTGTCTTAAAAGGGATCAGGCATTTGTTACTGGGGTGGGGTGGGTAATACATGAATGTACTGACAATAATGACCCTCCCCAAATACCTGTCAGACTTTCAGACGACCCTCCCCATGTTATTTCACAACCCTCAAAAGAAAACATGCAAAAGCACTCAATTTATTTCGAGGTTATAATACGGCAGTTATCAAACCAACCTAAGACTTTGTGACAGACTGAGGAACAAGCACCATTACAAGTGGAATACATCCATACAGAGAAGAAGACGGACTAAGGGAGGCAACTCCAAATTCTTACCACCCAGGCCAATATCAATCAACAATTCAAACTAAAGTAGTCAGAAATAGAAAAAAAACTGTTTTTAGGCTGATCTGTATCCCTAAAATTTACACAACTGCAAATAGCATATCTCAAAATAACCCACATCGGCCCAGAGACCATATACCGGTATATGGTCTCTGATCGGCCTAACTGGGCGTTCAGTGGGATGCGTAATACGATATCCAGAAAAGCATGTTTACTCGTAAAATCAGGTAAAATATGAAAAGCTGCTGAAAACAATAGATGGCAATTAGGTCACTCAGCCAGGTATGATGACAGGCCGTCCGCTCACCTGGCATGAAATGCATGTGCTGCCTACAGGCACAAGGGATCAGCTCAAAGATATTTTGTGCTTTTTCATGTGTGATGACTATGTCTCATCTATAGATTAACATCTTACATGTCTTTCTTTCATGAAGTTTATGCTGAGATATGTGAAAGAGCATGATACCCATAGGAAAGCTTAAATTGGCCATTTTATTAAATGTCTCAAAATATACAGTTGGCATGACCACACGAAAGATCTACAGGACTGGATGTTATTACTAAATTGTTATGACATGCCGTTTACTTCCCTAGTTTAATTCCCCTAAAGGATTATCTTATCTTAGCTGATATCTCTGTCCCCCAGCCTGACCCCAACCACTGTCTGAGACACCCTTCCTGGTCTTGAGACGACCCCTCCTACCTGTTTCTTTTTATAGTGATAGTGAGACGCCATGGTAGCTACATCCTTAATAGCTTCAGTATTAAAGAAACTATTTTTTAAGTCAGCTATCGCCTATAATGAAGCTAAGTTTTATGAAGCTAAGTTCTTTGTAATACAATATCATCGCACACTAACTTGCATTAAGCCATGGTCTGTTCCAAATAAGTCGCTTTGGACTCAGAAAAAACCCGCATTGCCCATTTGTGCACTATTCTCTCTTCAGTAAAGTCCTTTTTTCACGTTTCCTATCTCCCTACCACTGAGAGTGTAGTTAGGCTGAACTTTCACACTTTCAAATATTAACTACATAAATTGTAGATATAAATGCGAAAAAAAGGTTTTTTTCTATTTCTGACAGTACTTTAGGATACAATGACATGCATCCACCAAGTCAGTTTACTTTACCATGTGAATCCATTAGTCAACGATTGCTCCAGGTTAGAATTGATCTTCAGTAACCCATGCTTGTCGTAAGAGGTGACTAACGGGATCGGGTGGTCAGGCTTGCTGGCTTGGTTGACACATGTCATCGCATTCCCGTTTATGTAGGTCGATGCTCATGCTGTTGATCACTGGAATGTCTGGTCTAAACTAGATTATTTACAGACCGCCGCCATATAGCTTGAATATTCCTGAGTGTGGGGTTTAACAACAAACAGAACACATGAATATTCAAGCTATTTGACATGAGTCTGGACCACACAATCCAGTGATCAACATTATGCGCATCGATCTCCACAATTAGGATACAATGACTTTCATCAACCAAGTCAGCCTACTCTACCATCTGAACCCATTAGTCCCATCTTACGACAAGAATGATTTCCTGAAGACCTATTTTAACCCCAACATTCATGGGTGACTGTCTCCCGATGCAAATCAAGCATCTTGTTATGGTGCATCATTTTAGTCCTTAACGATGAAAACGTTACATCCAGCCAACATCCCTCGTACATCAATGAAACAAGGTACCCATTTTTATTCTTTTTTTTTTGCCTCAAACTGCATCAGTGAGTGAATACATGAGCGAGTCTGATTTTACGCCACCTTTAACAATATTCCAGCAATAACATGGCAGAGGACACCAAGGACATGTGTCAACCAAGTCAGCGAGGTTGACCACCCGATCCCATTAGTCGCTTCTTATGACAAGCATGGGTTACTGAAGATCAATTCTAACCCGGATCTTCACGGGTTTGTACCAACAATCCTGCCCCACAACGAAGCACATGTGACACATGTGGTCTCACCTTAGGCAAGTGAGTTTGTTCAAAATTATCTCTGTTCACCCAGCAGGAAAATGGGTACCCGGTGGAAAAAGTCATGACTAACTTTCTAGCGCCTAACAGGCAGCTTGGGTTATCCGGGGTAATAATGTGCTGTGCCTTGATTGTTAGTGTTATGAGCATTCCTAGTGTGGAGTTTGGCGCTACATAAATGGACACATTATTATTATTATTATTATTAACAATACTGTCAGGGTGACTTCTTAATATTGCCAGAACAAAAATAAATAGCAAGGTACTTATGGCTGACTAGCCAAACTGTATGTCTTTGCATTTATATTCCCATAAACCTTGAATTGAGTAAGTGAGTGAGTTGGGTTTTACGCCACTTTTAGCAATATTCCAGCAATATCACGGTGGGCCATAAACCTTGAAAAAAAACAGTAAGCCACACCCACTTAGCAGACTACTGTTTACTGATTGGCTTATAATTGTGGGGCTGGCTTGTGTTGCATTTTTGTGCGGAAAGTTCAATATTTTAAACATTTATGGAGAAATAACTGTAAAAGATAGTGTTGTGTGGACAAACCCAGATGCAGGTTTACGGAATGTTCAAACAAATTGAACTGGTTTGACTGGTTAAGTCACCATAATGCGAAAAATACAGAAGTCAATTCTTAAATGAAATATGGACCATATGTTACTTACAGGTTCAAACTCGTCCCGGTGTCTCCAGAGATAATCAGCACACATTTGCCGGATCCGCAGATGGTACGACTGTGTCAGGAACAGCTGAAAAACAATTCATAAATTTAAATCTATTTTAGGCTGATTTAAATTCATGAGTGAGTGAGTTTTAATGCCACCTTTTGCAATATTCTGGCAATATCACAGCAGGGCACACCAGAAATGGGCTTCATAATTGGGAATCGAAAACGGGTCTTCAGTTTGACGGGCAAATGCTTTAACCACGAGCCTACCCCACCAGCCCTATAGTTTCACAGATGAAGTATGACCCTGATTAATAAGGCTTTCACACAATATTTTGGGAAGGTGAGATGTGTGAATGTCTGAATCAGTGGCTGAAGTGTCGCTGGCTTAACCATAAATACATTATATCCTTAGGAGAGTGATGGATTTGTCGAAAAATGGCTCATTTTAACACACATGCAAAAATCTTTCACAACCACACACCCTCTCCTCCATTGAGCCCCTTCATCCGGATATACGGGGCGGTGGGGTAGCCTAGGGGTTAAAGCGTTGGCTCGTCACGCCGAAGGCCCGGGTTCGATTCCCCACATGAGCACAATGTGTTAAGCCCATTTCTGGTGTCCCCCGCCGTGATATTGCTGGAATATTGCTAAAAGCGGCGTAAAACTAAACTCAGTCAGTCAGTCAGTCACCCGGATATACTGTGTAAAACCTACAATTGGCTAATCTGAGAAAGCATCCACTTTCTGAAAACCATGAAAACCCTTTTAGACAAAGTATTAGAACAGAAAATTTGCAAGTAAAAACATCTACATTTCACATATGGTGAAACTTTATATCTGCAATTAATGAACATCAACTTGAGTAAAGAGAGGACCACGGTCATCCCTCAGCATTCAGATATTTTGGAAATGCTCAAAATTTGTTTCAAGTTCACATAAATGTGATAATGTCATGGGTGTCATCTTTCAATGTAAGGACATTAAATAATTTGTAAAATCTAAATATTTTTTATATCTGTATACTTATCCTGCACTACTTCCAGCACTTATTGCTTATGACTCGAAACGTTGCTGTGCCTCAGATTATTGCCGTAAATCCCGCAGATGAAGATGAAGAGGGGAGGTAGCTGAAAGCGCAGGGTGGGCCCTTATCCTAAGTAGTGCAGGATAAGTAGACAAGTATAAAAAATATTTAGATTTTACTAATTTTTAACTAATCCTGCACTACTTACTCCCTGCACCTTATCGGACAGGCTGGATGGAGGGCGTGTCATCTGCGGGCATCGCGGGGAAGGTAAACAAAGACAGCTCGGTCAATGTTATCAAGTGCGGCGCGGTGGTGGAAAAACGTTGTTGCAACTGATTTTTGTTGCTGTGAGACTTGTCACCACGTCTCCTACCATGGACTGGAGCCTGATTCCAAGCCCGCCTAACAGTGTGGCGTCGAGGCTTAGTAGGTACCGGATTCATGTGACGAACGCTATCTCCCTCTTAGTAGAGTCACACACTGTTCCATAGACGTCCTTTATCTCGTTATTAAATACAAATCAGCATTTTCCTCATTACCTGGCCCTTGTACAATTGTTTCAGGTTTGCAAATCTACAGCCTGAATTATCTGAAGCTTGGTGTCAAAGGTGATAGCTTTACGTTTGCCTGCCATATTGACGAGAGTGAACTGAAGACCTGTATACCAGTCAAGCTTTTAACATATGTTTGTTTTGTTAATTAATTAATGACCATCAAACAATGTTGATTCGCCACCAACAAGGTTGATGTATACTGTTAAGTGGCTGAGCTGACAATGAGTGAGTTTGCTAATCACGTCGTTAATTGTTTGCTATAGTCGTTATAATTTTAATGATATTATAAAGGACTATTAAATTTGTTCGCTATATCCATTTGTACGCTATATCCATGTTCTACTGTATAAGCATGAGCCAAGAACAAACCATTACGAATACTTTGAAGCCATGTGTTCGGACTGACTGACTGAGTTTGGTTTTACGCCGCTTTTAGCAATATTCCAGCAACAACACGGCGGGGGACACCAGAAATGGGCTTCACACATTGTACCTATGTGGCCATGTGTTCTGAATGGCGAAGGGACCGATAATAGTGATGAAAACTATCGTGTTTATAACAAACACCATCACTACAACAGCACTACAAAAATAGAAACAGAAGGGTAATACCTACAGTCTCTGAAGAACAAATGAAAATGCAAAAGTCAGTTTATTATCAATAAACACAAACTCATAGGATACAAAACAGTTGAGCTGGCAAACAACACGTCTTGTGAGGCATGCGAAAAGCAATAATAAGAGGTGGCTGACGTCACCTTCCGGTGATGCATGTGCAGACATGTTTACCCGAGACCTGGAAGTGATGCAGTCTACGTTTTCAACATCAATCGTCTGGCACAGCCACGTTTCGAGTTGTAAGCAATAAGTGCAGGAAGTAAGTAGTGCAGGATAAGTTAAAAATATACTTATCTTGATTAATCAATTGAAACAGATAAAAAAAACACCTAGTTTTTAGCAGTCAAAGAGATCATACCCCATGGATCTAAATGTTTTCACAATTCATACACAATTCTATCTGCAGATACTTTCACAGTATTTCTCACATTGGTTTTGAAGTATAAAGGGGTTATTGATCATTATAATTCATTACAAAATTGTAATATTTCATTGTCAGCGAGTTTGGGTTTAAGATGCAATTGTCTAATATTCCAGCAATATTGTGACAGGGGACAACAGAAAGGTGCTTCACACACTGTACCCATGTGGGGAATCAAACCCAGGTCTTTGGCATGAAGAAAGGACGCTTTAACCATCAGGCTACCCCACCGCCCCAAGTAACAATCATATCAAATATAACTTCTCTAAAATAGACACAGCCATTACTATTTATTAACACATACGAATGTGTTTTTATTACAGGCCTTTTTTCACAAAAACAAATACATATTTTGATATGCAGAATATTTTGGTTTGATCTGATTTGCAAAGCAATTTGTCATTTACTTATTTCCAATTTCTTGAACCATAAACTAATATACTAAAAATCTATAAGAACAACTAAGTTTTCATATCAATAATATTTTTTAACAGGAAAATACAGATATATATGTTCCTAACACATGTGTCAAGAGGATTCAAAGCACATGAAGCAATCGACTACATATTCAGCCACTGTAGCGCAAATAGGGCTGTACAACAGAGAGAACAAGTGTTTGCCACTAATACGGCATTGTCCCCCGCCGCTAAAGAATGGAATATTTATAACAGATTTACTACTTTTTAATTTTTGGTCACATACAAGATGCCTGAAATGACGTGTCTGCATAATCACCCAATGTAGGCTGACGACATAATTGAAGACATTGGGTGCAATGTTTTATGAGATATCGCGTTTACATAAGTTTGAAAAGTGGTCAAAGTATCATGGTGACCTTGAAGATAAGGTCATGGTAACCCAAATCAACTGGTATCTGCGTAATCCCCCAATGTAGGCCGTCACCAAATTTGAAGACATTGGGTGCAACGGTTCATGAAATATCACTTTAACAAGAATCGGGACGTCCGTATGTACGTATGGATACACAGTCCCCCATTCCCTTGCTTCAGTTCGAAAGCTATTTTTAATGTCAAAATAAAATACTGCCACCATCAAAGGTAGACATTATTCCTCACAAGGTTGTGCTCTCAGATTTCCAACCTAATATTTAATAATTATTCACGTAAAATATATTTTATTCAACATTTTAAACGCCACTCGTGGCATATTAAATCGTTCTTCGCCTCCATTACCCCTGCCGGCTTGTGATGGAATGGGTATTTTTACCTTTAAGTTCAAGATTGCACCAATTACGCTTACACAGCAACATTCATTTGAGAGCGTAGGTGTGGTGTCATAATAGTCAGTACTTACGCCAGTTTAACAGTCGGTGCCGACTGAGGTACCAGGACACTTTAACATACATACCCTACACAGACCCAGCATGATGTACCGTTAGTTAAATGCCACACTCATATTGACACATTGTTATAAACAATCACACATAAGCGTGCGAGAAGTGTTATCGTGTGGGGATCAAAGCCACAATGAAGTAATGCTGCACATGAAACTCGTGTACTCCCATCAAGTCCATGATGCGCTGTCTTTGAACTTCTTGTTTGGGCGAGTTAGTGAGTTGAGGTTTGTGGATTTTGTTTCAGTTTGTTTCAGTGACATCATTGGATTGGTAATCGTTTAACGTCGCACTTACCAATATTCCAACTATATGGCAGCGGTCTGTAAATAATCGAGTCTAGACGAGACAATCCAGTGATCAACATCATGAGCATCATTCTATGCAATTGGAATATGATGTGTTAAAACCAAGTCAGCGAGCCTGACCACCCGATCCCATTAGTCCCCTCTTACGAAAATCATGGGTTGCTGAAGATCAATTCTAACCTGGATCTTCACAGGTATATTGACTTAAGTACTGCATTTGCTAGGGCTGGCTAAAATGATCAATAATTGGAAATATCATTGATAGGAAGGAAAAATATTAATGATTATCGATCTGAAAATAGTTGCTTCTAACTTAAGTTCAGGATGCTGCTTTGTTAGTGGCCCATGCATAAACATGTCAAGCTTACCAGTGGTGTGAAATATATTCATTTCTGTTTGTCTTTGTTGCATTTTTGCTCAAAGTTAGTTCGCTGATGTTTACTGATAATCAACCGATATTTAGTTAATGACTATCAGTTTATGATCTACATGTATATCGATAGCAAGTACTAGCATTTGCTGAGCCAAGTTAAGCATCCCTCTTCAATAAGTCACCATAATACCCTTTCAACCAGTTGACTACAAATCTTCATAAAAACCCAGTACTAAACCTAAAAAATTACAAAACAGCTTGTATTTTCACATCTGTAAGTGGGTGCATAATATATAAAAGGGCTTTGAGTTTTGAAATAGCACAAAAGAATCACCGTGATTGCTTTCTAAATCACCAGGTTAGAACAGAAACAAAATATTTATTAAAGCATTATTATCCCCCGCAACAACAAAGTTGTGGGGGATACAGAAACAAGTTCCGTCCTTCCATGCATCCGTCACTTTGTCTGAAGCATATCTCCTAAACTATTTGTGCTAGCTTCATGAAACTTGGTACACATATCAAGCATGATCCCTCGATGTGCCTTTTGCGGTTTAGACCCAGATATGAAGTTTATTTTTTGCGGTTTCCATGGAAACGTGACTTAGGCTGTGGCTATGAGGATGTCATTTTGTCTGGAACAGATCTCCCAAACTGTAAATGCTAGCTTCATCAAACTTGGTACATATGTTAAGCATGATCAGTAGATGTGCCTTTTGGGGTTTAGACCCAGATATGAATTTAATTTTTTGCAGTTTCCATGGAAACGTGACTTAGGCTGTGGCTATGAGGATGTCATCTTGTCTGGAACAGATCTCCCAAACTATACATGCTAGCTTCATCAAACTTGGTACACATATCAAGCATGATCCCTAGATGTGCCTTTTAGGGTTTAGACCCAGATATGAATTTTATTTTTAGTGATTTCCATCTAAACGTGACTGAGGCTGTGACTATGAAGATGTCATCTTGTTGCATTTCCATGGCAACATGTTAGGCTTCAACTGAATTTGATGGTAGTGCTCCTCTCTGGAGCAGATCTTAAAAACCTTTCAATACTCTCCTTCCATTTTGCTGTATACACTCCAAAACATTTGACATAATCATAACTAGTAGACATATTCATAAAGAATATTTTGACATTGCGGGGGATATTGATGACTTTGTCTTCTTGTATTAATGTTTGCTATATCTACAAAACAATGAAAGTTGTCAGTCATACTGAATAACCGACAGGGTAGCCAAGTGGTTAAAGCATTTGCTCACAATGCCAAAAACCCGAGTTCAATTCCCTACAAAGGTACAATGTCTGAAGCCCATTTCTGGTCTCCCCTTGATGTGATTTTGCTGGAATATTGCTAAAAGCGGCATAAAACCATACTCACTAAATTTGTTCAACATCAAAAAGGTTTTGCAGTGCACATGCAATACCTTAAAACTGCATTTTTTGTTAGTGACTCTTAATACGTTAAGCCCTAAATTGATTCAAGTGTTTAATGTTGTCAGTCAAATTGATTTGGTGCCCGTTTCCAGCCTGTCACAGATGTGTTTGTTGCGTTTACAAACGCACCAAACAACACTTCACGTGATGGCGGTCTGTCAATATTCAAGTCTGGACCAGACGATCCAGTGAGGGCCAACATCAGCGGGGATGCATGTGATACAATGACATGCAATCAACCAAGTCCCACAACGTACAATTCAATCCCTTTCAACCCATTCAGACACCGTGAAAATACTGATTAAATCTGACTGAAAGCAACAAATGCTTATGGTAAGAGTCCACTAAAAGGATCAGTTGTCACGCTCCCTGTATGCCATAGTATCCTAACATCTTGAATAAATGTTCAGAATGTCAATCACTGGACTGTCTGGTCCAAACTCGAATGTTTAAAACATCACAACAAATTTTAAACAAGCAATTAGTTATACAGATACATAATTACAATTTACTATATAGACAAATTACTTTCAAGTACTGGCGGCTGTGAAGCCAAGTGGTTAAAGCGTCCACTCATCACGCCGATGACCCCGTTTGATTGCCAAACGTGTGTGTGTGAAGCCCTTTTCTGGTGTCCACCCATCATGAATTTGCTGGAATATTGCTGAGGTCATTCACTCACTTTCAAGTAGTTAAAGAAGAGATGCCCACTCACAAGAGGAAGCAGATCTTATTTACTGCTTGATAATGTGAGTGACTGAGTGAGTTTAGTTTTACGCAGCACTAAGCAATATTCCAGCTATATGGCGGCGGTCTGTAAATAACTGAGTATGGACCAGACAATCCAGTGATCAACAGCATGAGCATCGACATGCGCAATTGGGAACCGATGACATGTGTCAACGAGCCAGACCACCCGATCCCGTTGCTTCAGAAGGTCAACCTACTGTCACTTTCAGACCTTTGCTCCATCTCTTCCAGTAGCTTGGTGTAAGAGCTGAAGACTGATACTGTTGTTTTGCAATGTATTCAGCAGAAAAATGATGCACAAGTATTTAATTAGTTGTATGACATGCATGATCTGGACAACCAGATATAACTCAGGAATAAAAGATGCCAAGACAAACACCTACCATGTCAGTCTATACTTCCAGACAGCAAGATGTTACCAACAAACCCAAGAAAATTACACAGAGACCATGCGAAAATTTATCAATAAACAAACATTAAAAACTGACCAGACCATAATTGCATTTCAATTATTTGTGGTAATTACAAAAATCTCGAATTCTAATTCATTCTAACTTCCACGTCATGTAAGAAGCGAGTCAAATTTCAGAATCCTGCTGCAAAACCTGTAGACCAGCAATTCAACAGAAAATAATCACATTACCCTCTTTCGTTTGCCTGGTGTGGATTTCATCAACGTTTGAATGTCTGTTATTGACATGTTTACTAATTCTAAGGACGGGTGTAATTGACAAGTTTTTGCTGAACAATGTTATAATGTTCAGCTTAAATGAACTTAAAATAACAGGTTAAGTGGCAGTCGTGTGCGCCGGCAATATGCTTGTGGCATGCAATCCACATGCGCCTGCAGTGACTGGAAGTGACCACAGCGTGTGCCAGTATATTTCATGTCTGCGTTAAACCACGAAATGGGTCCCGAAATAATAGCGAATAAGTTGAGCCAACACTGACCGGTTGACACGAAATGTGGCTTTGGCACTACACCTTTCCATGCACCAAACTAACACTCGTGTAAAGCTAACAATCCCCAAGTAGCTAGTGACAACAGTAAAGACTGAAGTACCGATGCAATATCAGAGGGTTTCTCACCTTCTCCGACACCGCACGGAACAAACAGGATCCGTCTCTGACAATTGTTTTCCTGCACAGGCCCAGCTGCGCAAGATATGCATCCATGTTTGCAACAAGTTTCGACATTTCTTGAGATTTCGAGCTCATTTTCTGCTCTCTTCGAAAAGCACGTTGGTTTTCGCCCAACTAGCTCATGCAAGCACCTTGTGCACGTGCAATTGCAGGGGGTCTCCTTAACGCATTGTGATTGGCTCACTCGGCCGTTTCATGTGCCGACGGCTACTGTTTTAAGGACGATATTAACTGTGAACAATATTTTCGAATGGACGGTAAAATGGTCATACCAGTTTCAGAAAGATCACAGCTGTTACGGTAATGGTAAAAACACGTCCAACTTAAATTACATAGTTACCATATTGGCAATATACAGCATAAAACAAAATTAGAAACAGGTTTCTTAAAGATAGATTTTATGTTAATAAACGCAGTTGGCGTAAACATTATACGCTTAGTTACACAGACTATTAAAATTAGAACTGCGTCACAAATATTGCAAATATATGCAGGTAACATACTTCAAACTGGGGAGCGTGGGTGGCTGTTTGCCAAAACGTATGACGAGTATATTGGTTTAGAATATCAACTCTTCAGGTCAGTTTTGAATTAAGTACAAATAAGTGGCGTATTTTCAGATTATGTAAATTAGATTGTTAACCATGCATACCCGTAATCTGTATTGCTAGCTGTATTTTATTCCGACTTGTCATTCAGACAATGTCTCATATTGTTTGTTTGAACATATTTTATTCAGGATTGAAGGGCACAAGTTATTCAACTTATTAAATCCCGCTCCCCGACAATTACTTGGAAAAAATACATGTAATGAAAATGAACAGAGGCAAGACATATTATATATTACATTAATTGAAACGCTTAGTACGTACGATGAATATATAAACTTGACTAAAAATATATTTCATTTATAGTTTGTGGCAGACAAAGGTTATCGTACAGAATGGTGTCAATATCTACAAAAATAAGCTAACCTTTAGGGTTTCAAAGCCTTGTATCAAATCAAACCGACAGCTAACAGTTCATAGTCACCCTTTGATAATCTCATCAGTGATGTTGTATTCTTTGAGTGAGTGAGTTTAGTTTTACGCCGCCTTTAGCAATATTCCAGCAACATCACGGTGGGGGACACCAGAAATGGGCTTCACACATAGTGCCCATGTCGGGAATCGAACCCGAGCCTTCGGCGTGACGAGCGAACGCCTTAACCACAAGGCTACCCCACCGCCCCTGTAATATTTGAAGATGAGGGATTTACCGAGAGGACCCGAATGCTAGTTCTCGTACAATTCAAATTGCCGCAAGTCGAAAGCTTGAGCATCATTTACACACACACACCGAAGGACATTCTGCATGGTCAGCTTCCAGACAGCAAAATCACATATTACACTGACTGACTGCAGTATATGAATTAAGCCAAAAACCCAGCCAGACATCAGGGCTGGTAACTTCAAAATATTACCAGCCCAAAATGGATTTAACCAGACCAGACAATCCAAGGAAAATTACTCAGTTGTATGGAACACGTTTTCTAACAAAATTTACCAGAACATCGGGCTGGCTAGCTGTAAATGTAGACCGTCCGTCAGAAATCTAGCCCGTCTCGGGCGGTCGGACGGGACATATTTCATACACTGCTGACTGAGTTTACTTTTACGCTGCTATATTTCCATACCTTGTTTCTGACTTATAAAATAGGTATTTTCCTTGCGAAATATTTTGTGTTTTACCTGACCCCAAACACCAAGCAATTATCTTTTAAAATTGGGTGTGTGTATCTTCAACGTAAAGTTAATTTGTTTAGGAAAATGCGATCCGCTAGATCCAGTGAATACTAGTAGACGGGGAAAAAATATCAGTGCATTCATGGTATTGCACCTATGTATTTTCAAGAACTTCTCTCTCCTTACATGCAAACAAAAACTCTCGGTTCATCCTCGTCTAACGTGCACAATCTACCAAAGTGGAACCTCAAATCATTTGGATACAAGTCTTACCAGAACATGGCACCGGTCAAATGGAATTCCCTCCCTGATGAACTTAAGCTGTCTCCAACCCTTCAAAACTTTATGTGTCATCTCAAAATCATTCTCTACAAAACGTTTTATATCAGTTGACTTCACTAAAATACTTTATTCATTGTTAGCGCTATGAGCTAACTAATACTGTTAGCGTTATTATATTTCCACAACCCCTGCCATAATAGTTCAAGTATTTACTGCTCTCTTTCATCTGTAATCCGTGAAGAGACAGGTTAGAATTGGTCTTCAGTAACCCATGCTTGTCGAAAGAGGCGACTAACGGGATCGGGTGGTCAGGCTCGCTGACTTGGTTGACACATGTGCTCGTATCCCTATTGCGTGGATAGGGATGTTGATCACTGGATTGTCTGGTCCAGACTCAATTATTTACAGACCCCGCCACATAGCTGGAATATTGCTAAGTGTGGCGTTAACCAACAACAAATCCAATGATGTAACTGAAACAATATATAAAGCGGACTTACAACAAACAACCTCAACTAACTCATTAACGCGCCCAAACAAGAAGTTCAAAGACAGCGTATTCATGGGCTGGAAGGGAGTGCACGAGTTTCACGTGCAGCGTTACTTGATTGTGGCTTTGATCCCCACACGATGATAACACATGCCTGCTTATGTGTGATTGTTTATAACAATGTCAATCAACCTTGGAAGATGAAACCTTGTATGTCTCTTCATCTATCACATCAAGAAAAACACACCTACACGCTGATCTCTGTAGCACGTGCCTATTCCAGAGACAACAGTGTAAAACAAAATATTTTCAACAACTAACACAAGCGGGTGCCATCTCTCTCTTTCTCACCCCCTCCCCCCGTCCTAAAAGTCGATTAATTGACCATTAAAACTGTCGTGAAAACGGGTTAAAATAAACTGTGCATCCCCCCTTTTGAAAAAGCTGTATCCGCCCCTGAAGTCAAGAAGACTTATTGAAGTATATATTTTCACCTCCCAAAAAATTAAGCAACTAGTATTTTCAGAGTAATATCTTAATGGTGCGGTCCCAGTGCCGACTTCACGCTACTCGACCTTCTCTTCCTGAAGGTCGAGTTGGGGGTCGAGTTGGTCGAGTTTAAGAACGAGTTAGGTCGAGTCAGGTCGAGTCAGATCAAATCAGGTCTACCAATTTTTTGAAAGTTTTTTGACATGTCAAAAATTTTCCCCGACTTCCTCCTCGACCTTCGGTCCGAGATGGGGTCGAGACCAGGTCGAGAATAGGTCGAGGTAGATCGAAAAAAGGTCGAGTTATGTCGACATTAGCTCGAGTTGGTCGAGTTGAAGGTCGAGCTGGCCTGACAGGCCGATCTGTGTTCGTCTTAGAGTCGATCTGTACTCGGCCTCGACTCGACCTTGAGTCGACCAACTCGAACTGGACTCGATTTGGACTCAACCTGGAGTCGACCGACTCGACCTGAAGTCAACCTATCTCGACCTCAACTCGACCTAATCGAGTCCGCGTCGACCGCATAAATGGTAACCATCTTCCCAGATGCTTCATAAAAGCCAAACGGCAGCCAGTGGTAGCACATCATCTCCACACCAACCTGCTGCCACCCAGAGGTCCACCCTGCGCACACCACCCTCTCCAACGCGTCGCAAAGCAGCGGATCAGGCTGGTATCTTCCACAGCTTTGACTCCAGTGCTGCAGCAGGTATATCTCTGTACCTGCCAAGCGGTCTCTTGGACACTACACACACCTCAGAGGATCAGTCACATGTTCAATCAGGACTCTCAGCAAGGGCAGTGAAACTGAGAAGTAGAACTTGGTACTCATATATTGTCATGAGCACTTTATACTGATGTGAAATGTTACCTTCAGATTATTTAAATGAGTTTCCAATACAAGATTTTAAAGCTTTTTTATCTGATATTTTTTTTGTATTTTCCATCCATTGCTAAGTGTAAATGTAAATACATCTTGTACGATTGTAATAAAGTTTATTTTGTTCTGCATATATATAGTTAGTTTTCATTGTGTGTTTTTTCGCATTTACCAATTGTAAATAGTGTAAATTAAAAACAAACAAGAGTTCCTTTGTAAAATGAAGTAGTCCTAAATAATAGAGTACACTTTAAAGTCATTTGGATATCATCTTCTCTTGCCAATGAACAGCTCCTGGGCCCATGAAATAGTCCTTCAAATAGTTTCTTTGGTTGGCGCCATCTAATGGGGTAACGTTCCTCGCACCCCGGTTATCCCCATCAAGAGGCTGTGTGCAGGAGCGCCACTCGCCTGGGGTGAGTGAACAGTCCTCATTACCCGGTCTATGAGGTTCATCTGGATGTTCCAGTTCCTCGTTCTCAGCATGTTGTGTAAAGTGACTCAGGCCTGGGTTATCTGTTCAGCTCTGTCTGCAGTGCTTTTTGGGGAGCCGAAGAAGATCTGGAACCTCATAGCCAGATTCTATGGTATTCTCCACCACTCGTCTGGCCCGAGACAGCCTGCAAAAGTCACAAATTTAACATTTTTAAGTCAAATGCATTCAAAATTCAAAACCTTTGATATAATATTGCATACACCCAAAGATACTAAGTTATAATTTGATTTAGGTATTTATGGAAAAGAATAATTACCTGCAGTTGAAGATCTGCTGATCGGGGTCCATCTGACGCATGGAAAAGGACTTCATCATCCAGGGGCGGAGTGGAAAGGCATCGTCTCCGATGATGAAGTATGGCACACCATACGGGGAATACAAGGTCATCGCCCTCCATCCGATCTCGTGAATGGTTGAAGACCATCAGCGTCTGATGCTGATCCCTTGGCCCCGACGTTGACCCACGGGAACTTGTAGTCGGCGTCCGCGAGTGCCAGCAAGACGATAGAGAAGAAGTTCTTGTAGTGGTAGAAGAGGGACCCGCTTTTGGGAGGCTTCATGATGCGTATGCATCAAACGCACCGGTGCAATATGGAAATTGCTACTCTTCCTTGAAAGCACGGGCTACAGTATTCCATCTACTCTGATCCCACTCATCTGACCGATACTACGCTTTGAAGGCGTCAAGGATAGGATTGATGTGCTTACGGCTGAAGCTTTGGCTGTTGAG